CGGACAGGCATCAGGTGATGGAGTTTATGCACACACAGGAGGCACCGGATGTTATACCCAGGGTTGCCGTCACGCCAACCAATAGTCACGTAACTGATAGCTACACGAGTCGCTGGAATACCACAGCCATGACCACCGATCCCAATGATACTACCGGTGCGGTCAGCACTGACATCAACGGTATGTTATTTTAGATAAATATTTGTTTTTATCAGTTATACTAAAATTCTTGAGTTTATTATTTATTGTGTTTTAAAAGTGCAAATAATTATTAAATCTAAAATATTTGCGATAAATGCCTGATATGTGGTGATTGTGAACAGTATCTCACAGATAGTGTATGATTTTATTAATGTATAGATATTTGTCAAGTATTCATGAATTTCATTCACAAAACTTATTGTTTTTAATTGTATGAGATTTGTGTTAGTAAAAACTTTTACTATTTATACTAGCTAGGCAATCTATACAAGTCATAGCAAGTAAGTTTTACAATTTATAATTTTATAAAATTATATAATAAACGCTAATAAAGTATAATACTTAACTTAAATTAATGTATTTAACGTTATTAAACTTAATGTATATTAATTAGTTTATTTAGTGGTAAACATAAGCCATTAGTAATTTAAACAATAAAGTCAATTAGAAAAACATGTTTAAAGTCTATACGACTAGCTAACTATGAATTTCAATATTATTTCATAAAATATACAGTACTAATTACATAAATTATAAAATCATTAAATGGGCAACTCACATGAAAATATGCATCAAAGTCTGTACCAAAATACACATGTACCTGAATATAATATATGACATTTTCACTCGTAAATCACATGAATTTGTTTGTTTTGCATAGAAATTCATTTGTCATAAAACAAAATCTTCCGATTATTTATGAAATTTAGACTTCAAACCAAAGGGTTGGATAAAAATACGGAGACCTGAGTATAATTATGATCTAGATAATAAAACACACTTCGTTGCACTTTTTACGGCATTATAAAATGATTTTTATTCATTTAATTTCCAGTAATAACTTTTTGTATACCTTGGGTGCACTATAGTACAGTACAATACTTACAATACTTTAATACGAAAATAAATTATTATATAATTTTATTAGCCATTAAATACGCTGAAATTATAGTATATTATTAAAAATCTATTTTTAAGTAGCCAGTACTAAAATAAATAAAATTCAAAATAAAATTAATTTAGATGAGTATAATAAGATTTAAAAATTTTAATTTTAATATTGTTATAGAAATTACTATTATTAAATATACAAAATTAAATAAAAGTTTTAAACAACTCTATTATGATAAACAAGTTTATTTTTAGGTATTATTAGTGTTTATATTAGGTATGAAATTGTTAATTAAAATATAATTGAATATCAATTTCAATGAATTCATCGAAAATCAATTGAAAAGTCATTATTCCTGCGAAAGTCAGTAAATGTATATAATTTTTATGATTTGCATTAATCAGCCAATAAAACACAAAAACCTTTTTTGGCAGTTTATCAAAATATTTGAATCATACCATATTATGAGCTATAAAATGTTATATAATTACAAATCAGTGACTATTATGTAAGTTATGTGAAATTCAGTGAACAATGAGATTTCAAACATAAATTAAAAACCAAACTTTACTAGTAATATGATTGCAAAAGTATTTGATTATTAGTTTCTATGCCATAAAAATGTTTCTTAATACAATAAATTGGATGATTTTTTGATTTTATTAATTAATTTATGATATTTATCAAGTTTGGTTAAAAACCTTTGTTACTAATGAATAAAATTGGCTGGATATTAATTACTATACAATTTATTTTAATAAATAATGCAAAGACTAATCACAAATAATTTCAATAATTATTGAATAGCTTTACTAAACGAATACTACTTTTAAATATAATTTATTAAAAATAGTAATTAAAACTAAATTAAGAATTAAAAATTAAAGTATAACCTTAAATAAAAAATATAATAGCATTAAACTAGGCAATTAAATACAAAATAAAAACAAAAAAAACTTTTAAACTTTATAAATCCCTAACCTAACCTAACCTAACCTAACCTAACCTAAGCATACAAAATATAATACATACAAATTAAATTTATATTAAAATTAATATTTTTATTTATTAATTAATACTAATCACAAAATCTCATAAAATACCTCAGAATCGCCAAACGACGGCCTAAACATCGGGTACGGTATGGGACTGCGGCGGCCCTCCCTATTCGCCATACCTAACCAAAAGCACCGGCAGTCGACCGCCAGCGCAAACTTAGGGGACTTTCAACGCAAACCTTTGGACACGGCTTTCTGGTCCATACCGGACAACCCGCTCACCACCAGCGCCTACATCGCCAACGGGTTGGCCGAAATGGCGAAG